GAATTCGATTCCCTGCAAAGATGGGAGAAATTTTTGAAATTCGCCCTATCCATTCCGCAAGACTTGGGCGTCCATGTGATGGATATCCCATCCCTTCATTTCTAACTTCAACAAATAAATTCAATAAGACCAAGGAAGCAGAAGCATGTACAATCATTTTGTTGAAGAAAACAAAGAGAGCAGGTTYGAAGATAGAACTAACAAGAAGGATGAAAAAAACCAAGTTAGAAGTTTGCCAGTAATTGGTAATTAGGGATCAGTGTTTAAAAAGGACAAGGTGCAAGAAAAGCACAAGCAAGGGGCAAGGCGAGGCACACCACACACCCCTTTCTAAAGCAAGACACAAATCTCTACAAAATTCAGAAAAATAAAAAGCAAATACATAAAAAACGTAAATCTTAAAGTATTGTAGAAGAAGAGCTAAACACCTGAKTTGCATCAATACTGTCACGGTGGAATTGGCATATCTTTCCAAGAGTTGAAACAGCATTGTCGTAGGCCATTACATTATCCGTATGAAGTGCATTAGGATGCCTTATCACAACATTTAACCTTGAAAGAGCCTCTGCAAGAAGCAGAAAATAAAATAGCTCGAAACATAACAAAAAAATCCATAATTCTTTGAAGATACACAAGCAGAATAAGCAACATACCTCCAACAAGAGGTTTAAACAGAGAGCTACCAAATTCGGCACAAACACCAACTCCATAAACGGCAGCCTGCAAATATTGTGGGTCAAAATGAATAAAAGAAAAGTAAAATGAGTTCAGACAAAGAAAACCACTTCATGAGTCAGGATATTGTCGTTCAAACCTGTCGAACATCTGGATTCTCATCATTGCAAGCCTCCAACAGGAAGGGAAGATATGTATCATAATATCTGGTCCACCATTTAGAATGTTCAACACAATGCACTCAATTTTAATGATATGATTAAACATCATCAGCTAAGGGTTAGCACTTACTTGAGAGCAGCCTCCCGGCATTGCTCTGCAATGTCATCAAAAATGCAAATAGCAATCCTTCTTTCTTCAGCCGTTTTATCCTTACCCTATATTAACAAAAGCCTTGTAAGACCAAAAGAATAATTAAATAATTCAAATACAACCCTTAAAATTAACAAGTATTATCAACATTCAACATTTATCAAGTTCAAAAGAAAAAGGTAACAAAATCATTAAATTAGTACTTTGGCATGAAAACAAACTCCACACAGTTCTAGAGAGATGTTTTATCAACTTTAGCCAAATTCAATGCAGATTCCTCAAAACTACCTTCAAATAGCTAGCCTACAGCACTCACTAATCACAAATCCATGTGAATGAAATCTCAAAACAGTTACCAGGGCAAAAACTTAGTGGGTGTTTTGGTGGATAAAGGCAATGGGGGACAGCATGTTTTGCAGCCAAGTAATGTAAAAAGGTTATGCTTTCTGTATTCTAAAGAGCATTATGTGAGGCCAMCCACCTCCTTGAGCTGCAAGACTATTATTTGTACCTTTTTTATGGAACTAATAAAATTTTGTCACTCAACCATATAAAAATTCATTGGAAATAGAGAAATGTGAAGGAGATAGGCTCCCCTCCACCCACCCCAATAATTACTTATTTCAAATAACAAATGAATAGTGAAAGAAGTAACTGGCTAGTAAGAAACCTGATAAAATTTTCCAACTACAATAAAGTTTATCTATAAGCCTGCCAAACCCCTCCAATGTGTATCCTCCTTATTTAGAATTATATGATCTTTATCTGCTTTAAAGAAACAACCACTCAAAGTCTATTTCTGTTTACATATATACATTTATGATACCATCATCACCATTATAGCATCAACCAAGACCACACAAATGCAATATATCTTGAGATATTGCACCAACAATGTTCCATGTCTGTGCATACAGGCATATGTAAATGCAAATATATGTACAGATATTTACGTAAAGATTTGCATGTATGAAATGCCAATGAAGTTACAGACATATGTTTGTGTTCATTAGTATTATCCATACATTTTTTGCTTGGAACTATAAATCATTCATGAAATGTAACATCATGTAGAAGCAAGGCCAWAAAAGATGATAGATGGTAGGTACACTCTTTGATAATGAACTTACCCACATGGGTGTTATATATGAAGAGAGCTCATCAAAGAAAGGTAAGAAAGACGCCTTGAATGTCTTGATCAAAGTGCCTAAACAGTCACCAACCTAGATGCAGACAAAGAATCATAAGGCTAGAGATGTAAAAGCAGTACATATTGCCTAGAATATCAAAAATAATAGTAGAATACCAATATGAAATAACAATTAACATTAACATCCAAGAAGAAAGGATTTTGAAGACACACTTGGTCAAARATTTCTTCTTCCTGCTCGTTTTCTTCTCTAAGCAACTCGCCTTCCTCTGCATCAAAATCCTCTGCTTTGGCCCTCTCTGCTCTTTCTCTTTTTCTGGTTGAACTTGCTGTAATTACTTGTTTTATCTCATCCACAATGGACCTCACCTGACCTTTATCCAGAAGTGGCCCAGAAATCTAAAATAGAAATAAAAAAATGCTTGTAAGGTAACATCACAGGCTCCCTCACAAAGACGTAGAAAAGTAGCCAACTATAAACTGCTTCCAATACTAATCAAAATGGACATACCCTACACATCTCTCCCTCCCCAAATAAAAGACACACCAAAGGGCAGGACAAACCTGTATGCATTCATTCAAAGCATCCAACATGCTTGCACAAATTTCTGTCTCAGGCTCCTGAAAGGCAATGCAATTTAAAGAATACTTCAATACCCAAATAGTCAAAACCATCTACCAACATTAAATATGTTGTAAGACTGAGTACTAACTAAAAACATCTAATCACACAGAAGGATGACCTTATGCAAAGCTTCCACCAAAGCAGGTATTATGTAGTCAGACAATTGCTTGATGTAAGACTCATTACGACCCTGAGCTTGCCCCTTCTCAATAGCTAATTTGGCTGAACGCAGTAGCTCCGGCATAGCTGAAAGCACATATTACATTCCCAACATCAAGAATCTTTATGGGAACTCAAATAGAAAATGGATGAAGTGATTTCAAATTAGAGTCAAGCTAACACCTGAAACAGCAGCTTTCCTAACTTCTTCATGAAAATAAAATTTGAGAAGCGGAACCAGAGTAGGCGCAACCTGCGCTTCATATGTATGACATCAATTAGTGGCACTATCTTGTTGATGACCTAATGTGGAGAATCCATACCCAGTAAATACAACAAACCTGATCAATCCATGGAAAGAACCCCTCTTTCAGTTCATCAGCATAGCAACATAGCATGTTACAAGCTGTCGCCTTCTCCTCCAGGACACTAGTCTTGATCCCAATCCTTTTATCACCAAGAGTAATAGTTTCAATGCTGAAACAGATATATAGGAATTAAAAAGCAGCAGTACAATCAAAAAAAAGAAACTTCTAATAATACCTAAAATTAGTAAGGGAGGGAGGGAGAGAGGGAGAGAGAGAGAACAAGACCATAATGTTGCCAATACATGGACCAAATAAAGTGGTTGTTTTTCCCAAATCAAAGTTGATTATAAGATTTAATTAGTATCCTAAGCAAACAAAGTATTTCTAGATTAATGGTGAAACTACACTTAACTGCATCTTTGATTAATTGCTTTAAACTCACTCACCCACCCACCCCCCAAAAACTACACTTAACTTTTGGAAGGATATTCATGTGTAAATGGACAAAACACTTGAGCACCAGGTAAAACCTTAACCTCCATCAATTATTGTTCATCAAATACCCCTCTACTGTTGTAAATTTTAGATTTTAGACTAAGCAAATTTCTAAGAAGCAATACAGAATATGGTTAATTAAACGCCACAACCAAGGAAACAGCCATTACAGGAAAATAAAGGAACAGGAAATACCTACTGGAAGCCAGTCTATCATTGCTTTAAATGGTGAAACAATAATGCACAAGGAAATGGACCATTCCCTTGGAAAATTTTAACAATCTAATCAACCAGAAGACTAAAGACAAACCTGTCATCATCGGATTCATCTATATCATCATCTGAATCTGCAGATGTAATGGTTACATCAGGTTTAAGTTGTGCAGATTGAAGCAATGGGGGCATAACAACACTCATGTAGGGGAGGAAATCCTGCCCTAGGCACTTGCAGAGTCTAGCCCATGCCTGCAACATAAATTAACCATTTATCGATATCCATAACAATAAATGCCATGTATTCATGGTCCATGATAAATACAGATAAGATATAACTGGTATAATAAAAAGCACCTGAAGCATGTAACTTGTGGTTGGATCATCTGTTTCCATCTGGGATCCTTGCAATGTCATAAGAACTTCCATAACCTTTTACAAAACAATAAAGGATGAGGCCCCAGACGATAAATAATAGTGAAATTATCTGGTTATGATCATCAAATTTAACCATCACCTGCTTAGCATCATCCCTAAACTTCTCTTTTCCAACAGCCATACCAACCAAACTAATGCACTCCATGGATTTTGCACGAAGCATTCGATTAGACTTGTCAGTTGCATTAATCAAGATAGCTTTCAGGTATGGCATAACAGCATCATAATATTTTTGGAAGCGCTCCTACAGATAAAAATCACTTGTCGGATCAAAACCAAGTCAAAAAAAAATTAAAAACTAAGCACATTTAAGGATCAAAAAAGTAGTACCTGTGACGAATCTGCAACAGATGCCAAAGCTGTCAAAGCCCCCTCTTGCACCATTTGCTTCCCATTCTGGATGACACAAAACATTCATCAAACAATCAAACATCTACAAAACCAAAGAACATAACCTTCTTTCATATATAAATGAAAATAAGGAAACAGATACACACACATGTATATAAAATATATAAGAAGTAGTCACATGAAAATGATTGGTTCTGGTAATCATATACCTGTAGAAGTACAAGCAGTTTGCTAACTATCCCATCTAGGTAAGGCGTCAGAATCTCAGGAGTGCAATTCTCACTGAAGTTGAGGACTGCTGAAGCAGCATGTGCCTATAAAAGAGACACCCAACAAAAGACTGAGTAATTGCCACAGGTTCCCAAAAGAACTAGCAATTAAATGATATATTGGAAAAAATAATTACACCAAAGAATGTTAAGTCACACCTCAAGTTCAGGTGAAAACAAGAACACGTTAAACAACAAAGTGAGAAACATATCTGGGTAAAAAGTGATTTACAGCCCAAAATTTAAAAATAAAATGTGAACATATAGCAGAGACTAAAATACTTCTGCAAATAATATGTATAACTTGAAGCAATTATACAATTCAGTCCAGAGTCAAAGTAAATAGACAATACCAATGGCACGTGAACTAGTGTTGCCAGGCTTGAAGCAGACCAAACAGCCAGGCCATTCTAACTGGTAACCAGCAGACAAAATAGTTTTCAGATCATCCAATTCTTGGAAAATAGGTTTTGTAAATTGTAACTTAAACGTTTACTTTTTTATCAATAAAATTTATTGCTTTAGTATTATTCTCAAGTAAAAACTGTAAAATAGCTTTAAAAGTTGATCTGAATCCATTTTCTATATTTCTTTTATTTTCCATCTATGCTTTTTTTTATCAAGTCAGATGATCGAACCATTCAACCCATGACCTAGTGACCAAAACAGTTTACATTTCATTCCAAGTCTGAGAACTTTGATGGGACTGCTTTCTCAGGCCTAAGCATTAAAAACACAAAAGAACCCAATACATTAAGCAACAACACAGAATGTCATCTAGGCAAAAACAGGGAAAAACAAATGAAACATATAATAAAAGATGCAAAACACTTAATCATGCTATATAGACAAACAAACAAGCAGACGTATATGCACATATTATGGATAAACATACATATAAGACATTATAAATTAAGGAATTATACATGCCCCTGGGCCAAGGCTTCCGTTGATGTAATTTGCCAAGCTCAGTACCAATCTCCTTTTAGCACCATAGTGTTGTGCTGGTTTATTCTTATGCTAAATCTAGACCCTCTCAGGCATCTTCCCTTCACATACAAGCCAAAGCAGTACATGGTTCACAAAAGATAAGGGTAAAACATTGCAAGAACAGACGGTGTTATTGCAATGGTAGCTCATGGTGGCTGTCATTGCCTAGACATCCTGGGTCTGTGCCTTTCTTCCATTGTTTCCTAGGGTATTTTGCCTTAGACAATGTGGTTTTTAAGCAAAACTGCCCAAAATCATTGATAATGCAATACTTTGACTTGACTGAACACAAGTGAGTTGACTAAAACAACCACTTATTGACTAAAAGGACCAAAGCCGGTGTTTGGATAAATAATAGTAACAACTAGGGCAAGCACTACATAGGCCATTGTACCTCCACAAAATGAGATTTTGAATTAAATAATACACCACCAGCATTTTGTTAATTACCACCAGGAGCAGTTATTGCAATCAAAGAAAACTAAAAGCCCATAAGAATCTATAGTATAACAAAACATCGCATGGTTAATTAATTAACCAAACAATGAGAAAATAGAGTTTGGTGGGTATAGTTAGCTAGTAGAGACAGCAAGTCAAATACCAAATGTGTCATGTAATTGACATCACATATCCACTCCAGACAACCCATTTCCTATTGCACCCTGCACCCAGTGTTTTAAAAGCGTAAGAGGCAATTTGCGCCCAAGGCGCAAGGCGGGTGTGTGCCTTTTTGAAGCAAGGCGCAAAAGTAAAAAATGCTTAAAAAATCAAAAAAATGTCACAAACTTCAAAAAAGGTAAAAAAATCAAAAAAAAATTAAACATAACATTAATAAAAAATATAAACTTAAATTTTAAAATAAATGYTTAAAAAAAAACTATCATCTAAAATTAGAATACTTAAACATAACATGTAAAACATATTCAAATGAAACTTTAAAAACAAAACCAAACATATAAAGCATTTCCAAGCATGTAAAATCAAACATATGAAGCATGAAAGGGCTGCACCTAGTGCCTAGGCCAGGCACATACCCTAAAATGCACCTCGCCTATGCGCCTAGGTGCACCTTTTAAATCACTGCCTGCACCTTGATTACCAATCGAGCAAATCAATTAGGATTATCAAATTCATATGTAATTGTAAAGAAGGGATGGTGAAAATAAATATGCCCTGATTTCTCTCCATTTCCATCAAGCCCACACGCATCATATAGACATATACTTCAACAGCTCATATGATGCATACATCATTCTTGTCAATGAATACCTTTTATAGGTAATAGGTGTATCAMTAAATACCAGAAGAGACCCTTTACTGTTAAAGATGCTCCATATTCTGAAGAGTAATTAGATTAAGTTTCCTAATAAAAAGAAAATTTAATCAGTTATAGAGAGTTTAAATGGCCCCATGCTTAATGTCTTCTACTATCATAAATTCAAAAAGATAACAAAATTTGGAGTCAAAGAGTAGAGGAGCTGTGACAAGGATGTATACATGCAAGAGATGTTTTAGGGGCTCAAAGTTTAACAATGGAAATCGCATCAACAGAATGGAATGGAAAACAGGATTCACTTAGCAAATCCTATACATAGTTGGGACCTTTGCTGATCAAAACAAAACCAAAAAAAAAATACTACATAGTTGGGAAAAGACTTGGATGAGAGTGATGACCAAGCGTGAATTATGAGTTTATGACTGACCAGGATGAGTTAAGTGAGTTAAAGAAGAGAGTTGACGAATTTGAAAGAAGATATCCTGAGGTCCAAAGAGAAAGTGAATCAAGGCTTAAAGAGGCAGAAGAATCACAATCAATAGTATCCCGGTTGCAAGAGACAATTGAAATGTAAAAAAACTAAATACTACTAAGTCTCTAGTCAATTGACATTTTGACAATCACAAACGAACTTGTCCAACTTGGAATCTGAGAACCAGGTTTTGCATCAGCAAGCTTTGGTTGCATCAACAAATGATGATCTCTCTGAAGCAGTGAAGATGTATGAATCTAAAATATATTGATCAAAAAAAATTATTGATCAAAATGACAATGGTATACAGTCTTTTCTATATACCCATTTAGAACCCTTTTCTTTTCCAAGACCCACTATATTATCTCTCTAAGACTATCATATGCTTACTCTAGATCAATGAACAACATATGACGATCTCTCTTCTTCTATCTAAACTTTCCTATCAATTGTCTCAAATACACACACATACACGCGATGCTTATTACAACTTTACCATACTGCTCTTTCTCCATTCTTCAGGCATCTTCTTATTATCTAATTAAATAGTTTAGTTGGTCATAAAATAATAAGCCTACTTCTCCCATACCTTTCGACACTTCTATTGGCATACCATCAGGTCCCCATGCCTTTCCCTTCTTCATCTTATTTAGCACCTCCTTCACTCTTCAGTGATTCTAATTTAATGAGGGTACATGCTATTTTTAACATTATTAGAGTTGCTAATTCACCTCCATTAGCACCCTCTACATGTTGTTCACTAAATAGTTTTTCATTTTACCCCAACTTCATCATCTTTTACCAAGACTCTTTGATCTTCCTCTTTAATGCACCTGGCATGGTTTAAATCTCTACCTTTCCTTTCTCTCATCTTTGTTAGTTTTTAAATTACACTTTCTCCCTCTTTAGTGCCTAAGATGGTAGATTGTTTGTTGATAGAATACAAATAGAAATACGTTGTATAATAAAAGAAAACAGTGGGGTTTTCCATTCACAGTTGAAGTGGCTGAACCGAAAAGCCTATTTAGTGAATAAGTTTTTAAGAAAGTTGTGGGCTCCTTAATGGCTGTGGTGGAAATTAAGTAGATTATTATACCCTTGACTAATTTATTATTTAATTATTTTGTTTACTAAAAGACAAAGCAATAAATCTTCAGTACAGCATCTTCAGATATTATCAAACGGTCCCTAAGGCTCTGTTTGGAAAGAGTGTACAGTATGAATACATACAAAGAATTACAAAATACAAGGTTTTGCACTCTACATATTTGCATTTGTACTCCTTCCAAACTGGGCCTAAGATTTTTTTTAATTGGTTGTGTGCTGGTATGGAATTGCCAAAGACAAACAGACATACTAAATAGTCAAGGTTGCACTCTTTTCTCTCAAAAAACAAACACTGTAATTCCCTATCCTAGCCCATCCATCCTTCCTTTTCTATATTCTCTAAACAAAGATTTTCAACTAAATGATCTATATCATTCTTGTATTGCATATTGGCAGTCTACGTTAACTTATCCTGTTATCCATGAGGTTGAATCAATACCTAACGGCACCAACCATGAGGTTGAATCAATACCTAATCATTCAATTAAGAGGCACTAAAAATGTTTACTCTGAACAACGACAACCAAAACCATACTGATTTTATCATCATCAGATGCAGAGTCATAATAGCATCCCAACTAGATGAATTCACCTTGTATAGTTTATAATCACTATAGCACATCTCAGGCCCTCCCCTCCTGAAATATTTTTACCCAAACAAATAATAGATTCAACTAAGCACAAGAGGTAAGAAAATATTGATACTATTATTCATGGCATATTGTGAACAAGGAAATGCTATAAAGTTATCGAACAACGTCTTGAATATCCTGCTAAGACTATTTATTTCATATTTTTCAAGCTGAATACATTACAAGCTCATTTTATGATTGAATTAGATTTAAAATGATAGAGATATTTTTATGGTTTTATCTCTTGAAATCATCAAGACCTGAAATTACATGTAAAGCAAATGCCAAATTTTATCCACAAGTAATATAGCTCAATAAAAGAAAAAACCAGTATAGTTTCATGAGAAATCACACTATGGTTGGTTATAAAGGTTTAGCATCCCATCATATTTTAATGGAAAACGATAATAGCTGAAAGTAAATTGCTAACCAAAATTCATTGCATATAAGCCCCACAAATCCACTAACCTGCACCCGGGGATTCTGGAAATCATCCATGGCGGCAGCTAGAGCAGGTAAAACCCGTTGATGGTATTGAACCTGCAACTCCGGACCCAAATCTGTTGACAATTGCCCAATTGCATTAATAGCTGCCCAGCGAACACGASGATGTGGATCTTGGAATGAGTTCAAAACCATTGACACGATTTGTTCCAGATTATTTATCATTACCTGCAACAAGACAATGAACAAGAATAAAGAAAATAGCAACTTTATCAACCAAAAAGGCACACAAAAACTTGTAATGGCAACAATACAACAATAAACAGACAGATTGTAGCATCACAATAACAAGCAAGAACAATCAGACCAGTGATTAGTTATGGGTGACTTTCAAGTTTCAAAACTAAGTTCAAACCACGCAACCAACCCCACCACGCACACACGCACAAATGATAATATCCATAATATAACAGGTAGAAATTATACTAAAGAAAACTCAAAGGCAGAAAACAAGTAATTGAAGGTCTCACAGAAAACCGGTTAAAGATCAAGTATATCAAACAAAATGAGAAAGCATAACGTTAATACCTTTGAGCATCCCTCTGCAATCTGAGCAAGGGCGATGAGAGCTGCATGATGCTTCTGCCACTCTGGAGCAGCCAGGAATACAGGCAACAGTTCCGACGCAACAGGAACAATGGTATTCCCCCCCAGAGAAATTGATAGTCGATCCAAGCATTCTTGGCCCACGCTATAGTTACTAGTCTCTCCAGCATCCTCGTCTTCACTCTCTGCATTGTGCCATGCAGGATCGTCTTCAATGTCCAGAAGCATCTTCATCAGGATTCCAAACAATCTATGTATGAACTGAGGCAATTTTCTCATCATCCCAGGCGCTCTCTCCCTTGCCTCGGCAAGTGTTATGACAAACTCTATAGCAAGATGGCGTGTACCCTCCTCTAGTGAATCAGCCTCAGCAATCTGAAGCATTGCACCAACGACATCCACCAACTGTCGCCTCAAAAATTTGGGCTCCGTCCCAGCCAACTCAATCAGCAGTTCAAGCGCTTCTTGAGCAGTCGCCTCTTGGCCACAGTTCAGTGCCTCGGTCAAAGTCTGCATCATTGCCGGTAAAAGGTCTTGGAACCGATCCCGGTCCGAAGGACTAGAAAGACACTGGATAAAATTGATTGCAGCCCCAAGTGCAGCGATTCGGACATCGGAGTTAGACGACGAAGCCAAGCACCGTAAGAACAACGTGTGGAGGTTATTGAGGTGAGGAATTAGGGTTTCCCCGATGTATTGCGACAACTGAGCAAAAATCAACAGAGCAGATTCTTGCAACCGGGGCGATTCGGAAGTAACACACTGGAACATAAAAGGCAGAAGCTCCGGCCATCCACCATCGGGAAGAATCCCGGAAGCTAGCTCCGATACAGTATCGCAAAGTTTCTTCGATATCGACTTGGCTTCTTCTCGTTGCACGCAGGCGAGAAGATGAGACTTAAGCGCAGATTGCGTCGACGCAGATAGGCGAGGCCAGATATAAGAGTCATCGCGGGTAAGCTGCTTTCGGAGGAGAATCGCAGACATCGCCCGGACCTCAACGTGAGGCGAAGATTGAAGAAGTTGAGCAAGCTTCAAAGACAACGCATCGGGATGGTTTTGCTTGCAGAGGTTGAAAATCGTTTCGGCCTGGGATCGCTGTTCATTCCCCGACGACATTAGATGAGAAACTAGGRTTTCGAAGGGAGCGGGGTCAGGGCCGAGGATTGCCGCCAGTTGGGCTTGTTGGAATTGAGCCGACTCGGAATCCATGAGAGTGAGCTAGGGTTTGCTCTTGCTGGAGAACTAAGAGAGATAGACTGAAGACAATTGATGGAGGCGCTCTTTCTCTCTTCTCTCTCTCTCCCTCTCTCTGTGCCCCGAATAAGAGAAAAAGGGTTTCTCTTTTTAGATTGAAACGAAATTTGATTAAGATGGAATTCTGTGGAGGATAATTATGGTAAAACACATCAGACCGAGGTAATTAGCAATAATTGGGATCACCTTCAAATCGAATACATCCCAATACCCTCCCAACATAATCTCACACCGTGAAACTCATAAAACCGGGACTCGCCATGTACGAGATATGCGGTATCAGATCATATGTTGGGTGGTTAAGAGTTTGGATAAGCCGAAAATGACCCTCCGCTCCTGTGTGACTCACTTTTCTATTTTGGAGGGAAACGGAGACGGGACGAACGACGAATGACGACCCCCCGCCCCGCGAGTTCTGTCACCAGTGGAATATGCCCCCTGATGGGAACACGTGAGGGTCCTTTCGTGTGCACGTGACGGTCGCACAGGTTCTGAAAATATGAGTTACTACGTGATGGCTCTGCTAAATGCTGCTGTACTATCGTCCGTTGGATTGATTGACCGTGATGTTGCAATTATGTGATCTCTTCTGATTTGCATGTGGACCATGATTGTCTGCCCAGAGGAGTTATGTACTGTATTGGTTTTGAAACAGGAAAAAAAAAAGGGAAAGGAGAGAGATAATGGGAGAGATAGAGAGAGTACTTTGGTCTTAGTAAAGTGAGCCACTTTTTACACCTGGCTTGATTGGTGGCTGAGCTGGATGCATATTTATACAATGTTCCAGCAGCGACAGACAAACCTCTCTGTCTGGCCTGAGATTTCACCTCACAATCGAGGCCGGATCTGCTCCACACAGCACGCCTCACACAACCCTCACAGGCACATCCCATGTTATTATTCATGGGAGAAGTTCTCACTGCACGGTTGGATGTGCCTGTGAGATCGGTGTGAGACACGCTATGTAAGGAACAGATCTGGGCTCGCTCTTACAATCTGTCAAAAATAAAAAGCAGGGTGTATTCATGGATGATAACATGACAGTCAATAAGTCATAACTTGCCACTCAGGTCTTTGGGATCGATCATCAGGACCACCGTCCAATGGTTGATATTGTAGATCAATCATGCACAAAACTAAGGTGGTGTTTGGAGCAATGGGYCATTTTTTAATAAACACTGCCATATAGACGCCACTTCAGCATTTAGCCCATCATGCTGATCCATATGCATAGAGACTCATAAAAACTGGTATTGATTTATGTGCACACCTACCTTTGGGGGAAGCTTCATTTTAATGCTTCCCGCAACAGTTTGATGTTTATTCACTATTATGCATACATGGTGCCTAATTGCGCCCAGTTGTCAATGAACGGTTTCATTATTAATTTTCTCGATTTTGCAAACAAATCAAGTGCAAAAGTTTAGTGAATAAATGGAAGTTATACCAAATATATACTAAAAGTTGTATATGTGTAGGATATCAATGTAGGGGTGTTTGGGACCATTTCATTTCTTTCATTGTTGTTTTTGTGATTCTTGAGGAAAAGGTTTTTTTCATGGTGTTGTTTGGTTCCATTGTAGTTTTGTGAGAAAATAGCAATGTCAACCAAGATAAATGGTGTTTTCTAAGATGACTACTTTTTTGGGAAAAAATGATAAAATGTTTTTTTACTATTTTGGGGACATTGCTAACCAAACAACATATGTCAATGCATTTTTTGGTCGATTTCTCAAAATCTGGTGTGGCTCTCATCTAGCACGTTTTCTCAAAAAAAATGACAATGGTCTCAAATAGGAGTAGATTCAAGCAGAGTCGAGCCGAATAGTATGAGGCTCAATCTCGATTCAAGCCAGAACATTGAGCTTGAGCTCGGCTCGAGTCAAAAACTCATGAGCTCGGCTCAACTCGAGCTCGATTTTAGAAAAAAATGTTTTATAAAAATATATATAAAAAAATTATTTGATATTTAAAAAATTAAGAATTATAATATTTCTATTATATATATTATTTTCTATAATTTTGTTATATATATATTCGAGCTCGACTCGCAAGTCTCACAAGCTGAGCTCTATTAGGCTCAAAGCTTGGTTGAAACCGAGTCAAGCTTGAGCAACTTGCGAATAGCTCGGCTCGTGGCCACCCCTAGTCCCAAACACCACCATAGTAGCTTAAAAATCAACTGCTCCCGTGGAGTACATTGGGTTAAAATCCATGGCCCCATGCTGAATCAAATTAAGTAAGGTGAAATTGGGCCACGATAATGCATCAAAGGCCATGATTTCATGATTTTAGCCCAACGCTACTCCAAGTAGAATAGTTGATTATCATCGATATCGTGTCTCTCTCATTTTATATTTCAAGTTAGGCCATCTTTGGGAGTGCTTATTTGGGTCGGGACCACACCATTAAGCACTTATCGGTGTTTAGGAAATAAGCCCAAAATAAGTGTTTATTTTAAAAATAATGACTTATTTTTTAAGTTCAAATTTCAAGCTTTTTTTAAGTGCTTATACATGCAATAAACACTTATTCAATTTTTTTTCCTTCCAAAATGATCCCTAGTTGAATTTTAAGATACCACTTATAAAACTATCTGTAGTTTAATTTTATAAAAGTTCTTTCATAAAAATACTTCCATAAAGTGTTTTTATAAAAGTATTTTTGTAAAAATGCTTTTATTAAAGTGTTTTCGGAAAAGTACTTTTATAAAAGTGCTTTTATTAAAGTGCTTTCGTAAAAGTAATCTTAAAAGTGCTTTCATAAGAGTGCTTTTGAAAAATTTTAAAGAAAATGAAAGACAAAATAGTCACAAATGCTTATTTAAGTGCTTATTGAAGAAAAAGACTAACAAACACCCAATATGAAACAAGTGTTTATTTTTTAAATTAAGTACTTGAAAAAAGTAGGATGCAAAATGCAAATAAGTGCTTATTCATTCAATAAGTACTTATTTTTAATATAAGCACTACCAAACATGGCCTTTGTTGAGCTCAACTAGTGTGGGTGTTGTCACTAGTTCCACATCATGTTAAATAGCCATTACATTCAGCTAATCTTATCTGGTAATTCTAGTACATCATATTATCATATTTTGTCTTTACAATTAAAATGATGATGATGATTTACTTGAATTGTGTTCATTTTAGATTGGATGGTAAAAACTCAAAATTCACCCAAGCCAATGTATGGGAGTGATTATTTGATAAACAAATGCTTGTTGTGTAAGTGCTTAAAAATATGTGTTTATCGTGAGTGTTGGGTGAAAAATCACCTACTTCAAACAAAGGTAGTATATGCACTTTCAAAATGATGTGGGGGAGTAATATAATTGGAAATAAAATAGGTGCTTATTGAATAAGTGTTTAAAAATATGATCAAGTTGTTGGCTTATTAAATAAACACTCGTTTTAATAATGATTGATGTTGTTTGATCCGAGGTGTTTCTTGAATCGAGGTCACAGTCAGACAATCTTGCCAACTGAGCGGAGCCGAGGTGGAAGGATAAAGCCGCGCAAAAAGTTTTGAAACCAAGAACAGAGTCAGAGGCCTTAGGAGTTATTCCCCTGGTAGGTACTCCGACAATCAAGTCAATGAAGAGAATGGGTGGTCGGGTCGAGTAGTTGAAAGAATAGTGTTGGTCCGAGCAGAGTAGCAGTACGAATGCTAGGGAGTCCAAAGTCCCTTACCTTGAGCAGAGGTTACCTATTTATAGTCGAATATTCGTATCCTGTTCGGATGAGGCTTCCGAGGTTGTCCATCAAGGTCTTTGGGATAAGACCTAATCACTAGCGAAGCTGTCCTCTTGATCCCACTTATCCATCTGATGTGGTGCCGACGTGGCCGAAGAAATGAGATGGCCATAGAGGTAACACGTGGCACCCGGGGCCAGCTCAACCATAACCTGAACACCACTCCCCCTTTTGCAAAGTTGAGGAGTGTAGTGCTTGGTTGCGATGTGGCGTGGAAGAGCTCTTTGGTTCTCGGCTGAGGAACTTGAATATCAAGTCTAGTTGAGCGCACTGTATGGACTAATCGACTCAAGGTTGAACTGGTTTACTGGGCGAACAGGTCGGCTCGAGGCTCGTACCATTTTCGATACGGGTCAGTAGAAGCGTCGCTTCGCTTCCCAAGGCTACACACGTGTGAAGGGCAGTGGCATCATTTCATATTCCCGAACTGTTAAAAGGCGGCGTTTGATCTATGTCGTTGATTTGGATCACTGGGAGCCCTATAAAAGGGGGTGTAGAGCATTCTTACTTTGTCATTTGCGAAGGAAGCGCGCTTAGAGCTTGGCAAGAGGTAGTCTTCGGCTCGATGTTGCTTCAATTCCGTGGTCAAAAACTTCGGAGTTCGGTAAGATGTCTTCCTCGTCCTCTGACTCTTCCTATTCTTCTTCTCCTTCCGCTTCTTCCTCTGCTTCCTCTTCTCGTAGTAAGTCCGAGTTGGGGTCTCTTGTCGAGGCTGTCGCGCTCAATACCCGTGACATATTTTCTTTTCATTTCATTTTTATTTGTAGATCCACAACATATTTTCAAAACCCTAAAAGCACCCATGAATGAAACCCAAACATATTTTCTAATTAAAGTAAAAGAAATTTTGCCTGTTGGAAACTTATGAAAAAATTAAGATAGAAGTAAGTGACTAAAAGTATTAAACCTTAAAAAGCTTAACTTGTTTGCAATGCAATTTTATTTGCTTTGGTGCAGACGTGTGGGAGTAAATGAATAAAGTGAAAAGTCTGATTTGTTTTTGTTTTTTATTATTTGTAGTGGTTAGGCCCCATCCATCACACGAGATTTGTTAAAAAAGTGTAGCAGAAAGCATGGTTTTGAAAATCAGACCGGATTAGACTGTTGGACCGATTGACCCATGAACTAGTCAAGTAAATTGGTTCTGTTTCACCCTAAAACCGCTATTTGGTAAAAAAACATTGATTTGGTCAACGAATTGTTAACCTGAGTGGTCAAACAGTCAACGTAGACAATGGTTTTCGATCATTTTTTAATTATTTATTTTTAATCCTAATGGGTTGTCCATTTGACCGGCCCCCAAAACGGTTAAGTGTTCAATCCAATTTTT